GAAAGTGCTCCTTAAATATTTTTAAAGGGCTCTTCTGTGGAAGAGGAATTGGGATTTTTATTTTTTACTAGAGGCCTGGTACACGGATTCATGCACCAGTGAGGTCCCTTGGGCTGGCCTGCGGGGATCAGGCAGCTACCGGTCCAACAGTTGGACACTTAGCATATTAGCCTTTTATATATATAGTTGGGGTTTTTTTGGCCTTTGGGTTTTCTAAAGGGGAGAAATGAAAGGAAGGACCATTTCAGCCCAGTAAAAGAAAACAAAAAACCTTTCTAATAAAATGGACTTTCTGAGTGCCATCATTGGAGATAGCCAATCAGAAATTGTACAATATCTTCACTAGGATCTTCAGAAGCATTTCTGTTTATATATACTTCCCAGCAGTGAACTACCTAAACTGCAGGAGTCTTGAAGGCCAAATCCACATGCTGTGTTCTCTCTTTTCTACATATGTCAGCTACCATTTCGCACCAGCAGCAGTAGCCCAGTGCCTTGCTCAGTAGGCCTTGGATAAATGTTTACTGAATATATGAATGTTGACTTCACATGTCTATATTTTAGCAGTAAACCAAAGGCCATGTCTGCAAAGCATAGTGAAAGTAGGCATTCATTTCTACCAATTCCGATTTATTTTTAACTATACTTAAAATATACCGTTGTTGAGCCCAAAATTAGTTATTTTACTTTGAATGATCTGATTATTACAATTTCAGATCTACCTTCTCATCTGTCTTGAAGGTAGTTGCATAAAATCACTCACACATCTGGACCCTCCCTCCATTTCTTCACACCCACTAGGGCACACTTCCTCCACATCCCCCTCCCTTTCTCACCTACCTTCTTCCTAAGATCACCCAGGTAGACTGTGGCAGGGCCTGGCTGTTCATTTCACTCCAGCCACTGCTGCTATCCACTGATCACCATGGCTAATCAGATGGTATGACAGTCTACACCAATCATTAAGATGACCCAAATTAACAGCCTGGCCATGTCACAGTGCATTCATTCCACATACACAGACATGGCCTAAGTGTGAGGCAGAAACTTGGATGTGCCTATTTGTATTTGCCTTGTAACATGCATTATTGATGGTCCAACGCTGCTTCCTCACTTTAAATCTGCAAATGAGAATCATCTGTCAATTATTACAACCAGAATTGAGATCTGAGGGCAAAAGAGAAAGTGTCTATGCCTTTTTCCTACCACCATTTCTTTCATTTGCCCTTTTTCTTCACACTGACATTTTACGTAAAGCATCTTAGCTCAACACAATCCCCAGATTTTTGCCTACAGTGGATACTGAATCAGAATATTTTTATACCCTAAAGGTAAACAAACCTTCCCCAGCCAGGTGAAGAGGGCAGTGCAGGCTCTGAATTGGAAGCTGCTTGTGGGAATTTCGGTAACCGAATTTCCTTGTGTGTACTGGTCAGTAAAGCTCAATATGTAAAACGAGGGTAGCCTTATCCTAATCACCATTGCCATTGTTGGCATCTTACAGCACCTGGTGTAAATTATCCCCCAAATATTTACATTCTTGATAGCCATTTTTCTACAATGCATTTAATAAGCAGAGGGTCCTATTACCTGCTAAATGTTAGTATAAATTAACAATCCATTATGCACAATAAGTTTTGTAAAACATTTACAGATAGAGATCATGTTTAATTAAAATTAACGTGCATATGAAAGCCAAGTGCACTAATGATCACGGTGACCTTTTATTACCTGCAGCCCCTTGTTTTGCCCGGAATGATTGACAGCTTGCTGTTTGGCTACCATGTTGAATTTCAGCTGACAAGACTTTTCATTTTAACTCAATTTGCCCGCCTATCACAAGCTGGTGGCAGGCCAGACCCAAGTCACCCAGCTTTGCCTCAGCAGCTTGCTCTAGTTCTCATTAGTACGCATTTATTCAGTGGAAATTGGAAGACAAATGCTTGAAGGCATGTGAACTAAGTATAGCAAATTAGGTTTAAAGACTGAATATTTATAAGTATATGGAAAGTTTTTTTTTTTATAATTCTAGAACGAATTGAGAACTGAGTGCCAGCTTTGGCATAAAAGAAATAAAGATAGTAGGGGGGGAGGAAGATTCTAAGAATAACAATACTATAAGCTTTTTCTTTCCGTTTTGGAAATATGTAAAATGCCTCTGACAACACCTTATCAAATACCAACCTGGCCTCTCTTTCGTGGAGTGCTTGCTGCACAACAAAGTTTAGCACCTCGTGCGTGAGGAGGGGGGTGGAAATGAGGGTCATGTTCAATTGTTGCTTGGTTATCCCTTGGTATGTTTTAAATTGCCTTGTTTGTTCGGCGCTAGCACAGAAACAGATGTTGCTCTACCGTGCAGGATAATTTACTGTACCTCCTGGTGCAGCATGGAAGCCCTCCCAGGGCCCAGCTGGTCTGTCAGTGGCACTGGCTGGTGTCTGCTCAACTATGACAACTACAAGTAGAGGCTGCAATTTTTTTTTTTTTTTTTTTATTGTGCAGTTGTCATTCTTCTCAACATATAGCTCTGCCTGCGTTCTTACGGGGGCTGGTGGGAAAGCTGCTGGCTTTTGTGCCTGGCTGTGGCAAACCAGAGCCGCAGAGGCCCCGCTCTCCATTGTTAAAAATAATGCAACTCATTACTTCTGCCGTCTAATGATTATCGGCATGATCGCTCAGAGCGAGAGCCAACCTCGTCTTGCACACATAGCTGGTACTGGAAGGTAAAACAGATTTGTCATTTATGATCTGACCGCTAAGCCACACTTTGTGCTCCATTATTGTGATTAACTTCTGCATAAGATGTGCTTGCCCAATTGTCATTTGTGATACTGCAGTGGGCTCAAGCTGCCATGCTCCCCCCCCCCCCCCCCCGCCCCTCACACACACACACCCCCTCCCAAGCACGTCGGCCAATCAGATGTGACCGTGTTATTTGGACTGTTAAATGCCTGTCCTGTCACAGCAGCCACGGCATCATTATTTTGCTTGTGTATTTCTTCTTCCCACACCCCTACTGGACTTGGTGGGTGAACAGGCTGCTACATATGTCAGCTACCATTTCACACCACAAGCTAAAATGATGCTGTGCTATTGTTGACCCAACAGAGCCAGCAGCCGTATAGGGGAACCCGACCCTCGATTTTCACCATAGAAATGTTGGTCGCTGGTGTCCTGCCAGCTAAAATCCATCGTGTCAGGTGCCTTGTGGCTATCTGCAGGAGAGTTCATGTTCCAAAACCAAAGTTCTTTTCCGGCCTCATCACCAACAAACCGATTTGACTCTGCCTGATTATAATAACGAAGGCAGTCCAGGAGAATATGCACAGCCTCGCTGTACATCACATCGAATCACCACACTGCCCACATGCAGCTGACCACAGCCTCATTTCTTTAGGCAAATGCATGCTTAGGAAAAGCCTCCTGGGAGAAGGCACCCGACGCTACTTGATACCGCTATGCAAGCCATGCATAGATTTAAATTTTAGTGAAGTAGCATTTATTTTTATTTTTTGGCTAAAACAAGCCCTCACTGGTCAGTCTGCTTCTATAATCTAATAACAGGTACCTATGTTTCAGATCTTCGCTGAACACTAGGAGACTGGGCTGTGTGTGTGTGTGTGTGTGTGTGTGTGTGTGTGTGAGAGAGAGAGAGAGAGAGAGAGAGAGAGAGAGAGAGAGAGAGAGAGTTTCTGCATTATAAGCCATAAACACAACCATTTGTTACCATGTGAAGGGGGAAAATACTCTATTTGGAGCTCTTTTTCACATTTCTGATTAGAAAGAAGCAAGCTTTATATTCTAGGACCCATTCACGCTGGTGCAAATATAGTCAGTTTTGATTATGAAGGCAGAGATGCAGACCCAGACGGGAGCTACATGCTGATATGCATGCTATCAGAATGATTTATGCAAATTATGCATATTATTCCCAAAGGAATTCCTCCTCAAACTGCCAGGATAAATTGCCGGAAATTAGCCATAAAATCTGTCGTGCTAGGAGCAAAAGGTGAAGGCCACTGGGAAAGCAAGGACATTCAGCTTCTGGAATCTTCCAGGTTATGATGATGGTTGCTATTTGCCCTGGAAGTGAGGGAAATTAGGGTTTGCTTCTGAACCCTGTAAAAGTATTTCCCCTTTAAAATTTTTCCAGCAAATGCTGACTCACATTTTTATTTACAGATAGCATAAAAGAAATTAAGTGTTAAGCTGTCTCAGGAAACACCACTACAATCACTTTACTCTTAACTGCCTAAGTGGTTATTAAATGCCTCAGTCTGGCTTTAAAAGCATAGCTTTTCAGAAGGCTGGTGAAATAACCCACCAGCAGTTGTTTAACTGGGACGTGGTTTTAATTTACAATGGGTATGCCCATAACGCAGCATTTCTCTCTTGTAAACTATTCCTTCCTACAAAAATCCTAACTACTGACGTTCTGCCCAAGCGCAGCACTGTTGCTCCCGTCTGTGAAGTGTCCCCAAGCCGTGTTGAGGACATACCACAGCTGTCTCACCCGCCCCCTTCTCGCTCTGGTCATGCCAGGCCATCATCCTGGTGCTCAGTGATCTGATTAGGAAAGGGTTTCCTTTTCCATCAAAGCTATCAGTGGTGAACTTTAATGGTAAATTATGGGCACTCTACAGAAGCAGTCATATTTTAAGAAGCTGTTGCCTGCAAAAAAAGAAAAAAGAGAGACAGAGAGAAGGAAGGAAGGAAGGAAGGAAGGAAGGAAGGAAGGAAGGAAGGAAGGAAGGAAGGAAGGAAGGAAGGAAGGAAGGGAGGAAAAGAGGGAGGAAAAGAGAGAAAAAACTACTCATGCACATCCACAATAGTATGCTGATTGGGGAGGGAGAGGGAGGTGGGTGGAAGTGGAGGAGGATATAGGGGGAAATAAATGGTGATGGAAATAAATAAATAAATAAATAAATAAATAAATAAATAAATAGCTATTTTAAAATAATGATTAAAAAAGAAGCTGTTGCTTGTTTGTTTTCCTTCAGAAAGTGCCATTCTCGAGGCTTTACGACTCTGCTCATTTTCGTCCATCATTCGTTTTGTTCAAGAGGATTTGACTCTACCTTCAGAGACCGGGGACTACCTCATACGAAAGGGAGACCTGGTCGCCATATTTCCTCCACTCATGCACCATGACCCTGAAATCTTTGAAGCTCCAGAGGTAAATAGTCATCGAGCTGTTCAGTGCTACTTCTTCTATGCTGCAGGCACATTCCTCTCCCTCTTGAGCTCTTTCTATCTCTTCCTTTCACCCCCATGTTCCAGGTGGCATTTGAGAGAGTTTGATGATTTCTGTTTTTCCTCCAATAGGAAAATGTTCCTGTTTACTGAACTGTTTGCTAAGGATCTCTCTTTCAAAGTTTCTGTGACCTATAAATCGGAATAGAGTGATGAGACTTAGTGCTAGTTTCATCAAATGAAATGGCCACTGTACCTTGGCCATCATTACCTTTAGGGCATAATTAGGTTTTCTTGGCAGAGAATTGTTGAAAGGGCAAGCTATTGACAGGCGGCTGAGAGAATAAATAATGATGACACTTAGATTTTGCTAAGTGTTTCCAGAATGGGGTTGATATCCCAGTGTTAAATACCATCATAGTCATGGTTAAGCCCATATACGTTTTCACCTCTTACTAAAGATATGTGCCCCTTCTTGATCAATTAGGATGGCATTATGAACTTGAGATTGTAAAGCTGCTGCTCACGGATGAAGCTCTGAGGGTAATTGTGTCATCTCCTTGTATTTTTCCCCCCAAAGCTGGAGTTAATGAATATCAAAGACTGGAAATTAATCCACCCTGGCTCATCCCTTAATACCACTTCAGAGGTTCACCACCTGCATGCAAATTGAATGCACTTACATTATGCCTGTGCGAATCATGAAGTAATGCTGTTGCTGCAGTGGTTTTTGTATGTGAAATGCCATTTTTAAAGGGAAACCTCTGTTCTCTTTTGGAGCAGTTCAAAAGCGGAACCACTTTTAAACCCAGTTTCTAAGTGAGATGTCATACAGCCAGGCTGGATTAAAATATTTGTTGAATTTTGGAAACTATAAGAAGAGGACAACCTCAAATACAATGAGATAATTTGCATTGAATTTAGGCAAAAATTTTAGGCAAGGGAGAATGTACATATGGTTCCTATGTGTTTCAGAAGGGACATTAAATGAATGATGATAGTAAGTCAGAAGTAAGGTATTAGTGAGTGAATGAACATTCCCCAGACAATAAGGTTTATTTCCACATTTGTTAATATCAAAATTTTCACCCACAAATAGATAGTCAGTAAATAGGGCAAATAAATAATTAATATTTGAAAAATATTTAAAAATTTTAAATAGCTTTATTTCTAGCTGTAATTTTTTAAAAATATATTTTTTATTGACTTCAGAGAGGAAGGGAGAGGGAGAGAGAGATGGAAGTATTAATGATGAGAGAGAATCATTGATTGGCTGCCTCCTGCAAGCACCCTACTGTGGATCGAGCCTGCAACCCAGGCATGTGCCCTTGATGAGAATTGAACCCGGGACCCCTTAGTCCGCAGGCCAATGCTCTGTCCACTGAGCCAAACCGGCTAGGGCTGCAATTTTTGATATATTTAACATTATCATTTTCATTATATGATTATTCCAATAGTTATTAAATTTACCATTCATGTCATAACAGTAAAATCAACATTACCAGCAAAGCGCAGCCAGGCTGGTGTTTCTCAGTGGTTAAGCATCAACCTATGAACCAGGAGGTCACAGTTCAATTCCTGTTCAGGGTATATGCCCAGGTTGCCGGCTTAATCCCCAGTGAGAGGTCTGCAGAAGGCACTGATCAGTGATTCTCTCTCATCATTGATGTTTCTGTCTCTCCCTCTCCTTCCTCTCTGAAATAAATTTTTAAAAATTAAGAAAAAAGTTACCAGTAAATACTCAGTAAATGTTTGCCAAATCACCACTGTTTTTATGGTACTGTTCTTTCAGTTCTTCTGATTCTCCACTTCTAACCCTACCCTAGTGATAACATTAGGCCATGAATTAGACTTTTAGGGATTTTTAAATCAAAGTTAAATACTGAAATGTGCTGACTTATATTTCTATTCTGGTATTTTCATATGCTGCTAGCACATTCCTAAATAGAAGTGCCCAAACTTTACATAAGACATTGACTAATCTTAATAGTAGTTGGAAGGGTTGGCCTCATACTAAACCTGTGGAAGAGTGTAATTGCAATATTGTGACTACTGATTTAGCATCACTGGGGTAGCTCTAACTTAAGTTGATGAGCACTCTATTATTTACTAAACTTAACATTAGACTATTGTACCTGACTAATATTAAAATTAACTAGCTAATTTTTTGTCATGGTATTGTTTTCCTGAAATTAGTTGTGGAATGGTAATAATTATAGTTCAGAGCCATTTTTATGACTTGGCAAGGTCCTGTGAAATCATTCTATAAACATTTACTGAGAATTTACCACTAGTGGGCATATAAATTGATTCATTTTGTTCTTAACAACTTAGGGTGGCAATAAGACACTGTAGATGTTTATATAACACACGCCCATCCAAAAACAACAATGCACTGACAGTCAAGAAGGCAAATCTGTCTTTGACCATTTGTCACTAAGAGCCCTGACCCAGGAGCTCAGCAGAGGCCCACATTCCCCATGTCCCGTCTTTTGTGTACTACATATCATGAGTGGGAATACCAGGCCTTAGATATAGAAAACAGACAGTAGCTGTTGGGTCTAAAATATGAGGAAGACTAACTTCAGATAAATGTATAGTTATTCTTGGAGCACATAGACATGGAAAAGCCTTAGCAGAACATAGGCATGGTTTCAGGATGTTCAAGCTTAAGAGACCCTAGAATATTACATTACATAAACAGGCCATGGCTTTCCTGAATCACATATCTTCCTGTTTTCTGAATGCCCTTCCTTGTCAAGAAACTAACATGGAACCTCTACTATGTGCATAGCACCCAGTTGGGTGCATAAAAAATACAGAGATAAATAAGACAGTGTGACTACTACAATCTCCTGGGATTTCTTGGCTCTGCCATTTTCTGTGGGTTAGCTCTGTCTTCTGCCTGGTGGCAAGAATGCCACGGCAGTTGCAGTCTTCATATTCATATATAACAAGGTCCAGAGGAGAAAGGATGATGAACTATTTTTGTTTCTCTCTTTCTTTCTTCACAAGAAGACATCTGGGAGAAGTCCCCACAGACTTTTCTCCTGTAGCACTGATGAGATTGGTTCACACACCCTCTCCTAAATCAGTCAGAGGCCGAAATGATGTGAATACCATCATTGGAGCCTAGAAACAAATGAAAACACACACACACACACACACACACACACACACACACACACACACAATCTTATGCAGAAGGAAGATGTCGAGGAGTCATCCATAGCAATCATTAAAGGAGCAATGGGAAATTTCAGTGTCTTACCTTTTATCTTAAAAATATCTCTGTTCTTATCCACTTAATGTTATTGCATTTAATTGACCCGCTTTAATTATGAAGCACTAAGTTGTTATGGCTATAAGAGTTTAAGTCAACATTAAACAAAAGCCCTTCCTTTTTAAAAAGTCTTTTTAAATATTTTTATTGATTTCTGAGAGGGAGGGAGAGAGAGATAGGAACATCAATGATGAGAGAGAATCATTGATTGGTGGGGATCAAGCCCGAGTCCCAGGCATGTGCCCTGACCAAGAATCAAACCACAACCTCCTGGTTCATAGGTCGATGCTCAACCACTGAGCCATGCCGGCTGGGCCACAAGCTCTTCCTAATATTACGTTCTGCTCTGGTTCTCCATGCCCTGGCCATGGAAAGAAAACAAACTGAAAATAAATTTCCACTCAAAAATATATTTATGGCCCTAGCCGGTTTTGCTCAGTGGATAGTGCGTCAACTTGCAGACTCCAGGGTCCTAGGTTCAAGTCCCGTCAAGGGCATGGACCTTGGTTGCAGGCACATCCCCAGTAGGGAGTGTGTAGGAGGCAGCTGATCAATGTTTCTCTCTCATTGATGTTTCTCTCTCATTGATGTTTCTAACTCTCTATCCCTCTCCCTTCCTCTCTGTAAAAAAATCAATAAAATATATTTAAAAATATATATATATGTATATATATTTATGCCTGTGTGCCCTTTGACCTTGATTATAGTCTGAGCAAAAGAAGTTGGCCTTTTCCCTTCTTGTTTCATAATATATCCAACTAAATAGGAATTTCTGTGATGTTTAGTATGAAGAAATTGAGTAGGATATGGTGGAAAATTAGAGGAGTGACATTACTGATTGACTAGAAATTTAAGGGAACTGAATGTAAACACTAGCTAAGGCCACAGGGGTAGAGGGCCATTATGTGCCGATCACCATGGCCTCTCAGAGGCATGCACAATCCATTTCATAGAGAAGAACAGGAAAGCCATGACAGTTTCTGGCTTACTTATGACACTAGGACATTGTGAAGTCATAACCTAAGCTAAGTTTTCCTTTTGTATTTTCTGGATTAAACACTGTGACTCCAGTAAGACTATTTCTAACAAATCATTTCATGGCAAAATTAATGTAAACTATTTGGCCTAGGCCAGGAGATCTCAGGGAGAGTGCTGATCTCCTCAGATTGGTCAGGAAGCAGCAGTACTGAACTTGGACAAGCAGGCCAGGGCCATAGTAATGGGAAAAGGTCACCCGGAAAGAGTGCTATATAGTAACTCTATCTCCTGGAACAAAATAGATCTCAACAAAGACTGTCCTTATTCCTAGGGATGAAGCGAGATTTTTATTTCGAACTGATTAGATTCTATTCGGATACACCCCAGAAATTTCTCTGTGGGGAAATACACTTGTGTTCTACTGCAGATTAATTTTTCCATTTGATTCCGTCCACTTGTAAGTTAGAGGGAAATAGAAGCTACCCAAAGTGTGTTTTCTAAGCTTGACTATTTATCAAAGTATGTATCCTAGATAAATGAGGATAAATTCAGTACTTTTAAAGGAAAGGATTTCGCTGACATTAATATTGGCATGGAGTGAGACAGTTAGGTGGTTTGTGATGAATTCAGAATCTACGCAGGTATTGTAGGGTCTTCTCTATAACCTGAGGTGCTTCCCATCTGACCTGCTTCTTTGCCTTTGATTCCACGTAGTTCATATCAAAGTTGTGTGCTGAGCAGGCCTAATGCTAATGAGCACCAAGCACAGGAAAAAATGTGGTCATTTTCATGCACGCCACGTGTTAATTTAATCAATGGTTTAATTCACCATGGGCCGAAATAAGGTCACTCCATCTCCTCTTGCAAACTCAAGTGAGAGTAAATTAAGATGGTGGGCCAAACACCGGAGATGAACCATTCCCATCATTTTCTGTAACAAGTAATATAACTTATTTATGAAAACATATCAGCAACACCTGCCATCCTAGAGTTACCCCAAAGAGAGTTCATTCTAATAGAACTGTCACAGGAGAAATTCAGTACAACATCAAAAAACAAGTAAGACTGATTTTGTGGCTTAGCTCCTCTCTAGTGCTTTATATGAATTTCATTATTTTATATCTATTGAATCCAAACATAAGCACTGAATCCTAAGTTCATAGTTCTCACCCACCAGTAGCTGACTGGGAATGGGTAGGAAAAACAGCATGTTCTAGATCCTTAGTTAGTAGCTCCGATTCATTATTCCAGTAACATTGGTGCCAGTGCCAGAGCCCTAACCTTCTACCAACATTGGTTTATCAAGTGCCCGTGAGTCAGGACTCACCTTACACGACAAAAGTAGACATAGTGCCTCTTTACTTAGGAAACTCAGCATAGGAGAGAAATGTGAGCTGGGAAGGAAAGTCATACAGGTATTTGGATTTTACTCTATATGGGAAAAATAACTTCTTAGTAGAATTTGAGCTTTTCTGAAAGTTCATACATGATTTGCTCTTAGTTTTGTTTTCTTAAAAGGAGCTTTTTAAGACAAGCAGGGGGAGCTGGCAATTTTGTGGACATGAACTCACACTATTTCGTGTACATTTTTTTATTGTAACACTCTCCACTTCTTCTTCACAGGAGTATAGATTCGACCGTTTTGTAGAAAATGGTAAGAAGAAAACCAACTTTTTCAAAGGAGGCAAAAGGCTGAAGCATTACATACTGCCATTTGGAATGGGAGCCAGCAAATGCCCAGGCCGATTTTTGGCAATCAATGAAATAAAGCAATTGTTAGTTGTACTTTTAACTAATTTTGATTTAGAAATAATGGATGATAAACCTGTACAACTAGACTATGGCCGCTTCTTGATTGGCATTCAGTACCCAGATTCTGATGTTTTATTTAGGTACAAAGTCAAATCTCAAAGAAGCTAAAAGGAAAGAAAAGATATCTATCAAAACCAACCTAAACATCATCAGCTCATCAATTTGTTTTTAATTTCTGCAAATGTAATTGCTTTGCTTCTATTGTTTTACGAAGTGCTAACTTTTATTTGATCTGAGATCAGTCCAGCTTGTACTTGTTCATAAAATAAAACAGGGTGGTGTTGTGAAACTGGACATCAAAATTAACATCATAATAAATTAAAAATGGTGTTTTTAAGTTTCTACATACTGTGATTTTTCACATGTGATAGTAAGTAAATGGCAATAAATTTAGCACTGTGGGATTTTTAAAAGTCACCTAAATTCTTCTCTAATATGTAAATACACACTTTATGTACTACTGGAAATTTGTGCTGGAAATGAACACAGTCTAACAACTTCCAAATTCGCAGAGAAGGAAATTAAATTTCAAGGAGATAGACTGAATGAAAATATTCCCTTCAGGTATAATATCAATAATATCTATATCACCAGGGTATGCTTTCATTACATGAGTTGTGCAGTAGATTAAATACTTCAACTTCAATATTTAATCACCCATAAATGCTCCTTATTACTTGTATACTATAGCTCAATAGAACAAAATTTATTCTGATATAAGACCACTCATGTTCAAGTTAGATCTGATAAGATTTAATGTATAAGAACACACAAAACCTATTATATATTCAGCAATTTCTCTAGACATTAGTATTGGTTTATTGCAGAAACAAATGTTGAAATTATTATAGGATTGATTGTAGCATTTGGCTTTCGTATAAACCACAAGATTATGCCAGTATTGCAATTTAGGCTTTCCTAAATGCTTCTATTTATATAAACAGAAACTAGATAGCAGTATTTGTTCTTGACACCTCACCTTTTGGGCTTGGAGTTTATTTGTTTTATTTTGAATTACAACATTAGGTAATAAAATAAAATTTTATGTGCCAAATGCAGCATTGTGTCCATGATTCAAAGCTTTCTCGTATCAGATTACCAAGTGATTGATTGTCTGGCATCTGACATAAAATGATGATGCTCTATCTAAAGAGGCAAAACAGGTACTAAAACCCAGGTAATTCATATGGCATTAATGATAACTTCTAATATTTCAGAAATGTACTATTGTTTTAAAACAGAAATTGATTTTTAAATAACATTATAAAGTACTTACTATACTTAATAAGCAAATAGATTTTCTAGCATTTATTTTCTCCTTCCTGAAATACATGCTGAAGGTCCTCTGGTCTAAACTCTGCTTTTGCTTGGTTGAAGATGTTTTCATTTTGCCCTCAGTCTAGAAACATGATTTTACTACATGCACACATCTGGGTGAGAGAATCATTTCCTTGCAATACTTTGAAGATATTGCATGTTCCTAAGGCTTCCATTTTTTTCAAGAGGTTAGCCTTTAGTCAGTTTAATTATCCAGTAGAAGTCTGCCCTTTCTCTCTGACGGCTTTAACATGTTCTCTTTGCCTTCTGTGTTTGTAGTTTCTATTTATCATGCTTGTGATTCTTGAGACTGAGAATGTGTGTCTTTCATCAAGAATGAGATAGTCTCAGCCATTATCTCTTTGAATATTACTCTTTCCAGCTCTCCATTAGATTCTCTCACTCTATATTCAATGTTGTTTGACCTTTTCTCCCATATTTTATATTTCTTATTTACATACTAGGTAATTTCTTTAGATCTTCTAGTTTTTTCTGTGTACAGTATATCGAATCTGCTCTTTTTTAAAAAAATATATATTTTATTGATTTTTTTTACAGAGAGGAAGGGAGAGGGATAGAGAGTTAGAAACATCGATGAGAGAGAAACATCGATCAGCTGCCTCCTGCACACTCCCTATTGGGGATGTGCCCGCAACCAAGGTACATGCCCTTGACCGGAATCGAACCTGGGACCCTTCAGTCCGCAGGCTGACGCTCTATCCAGTGAGCCAAACCAGCTAGGGCTCGAATCTGCTCTTTAACACATCCGTTGAGTTTGTTTCTTCCTTCTTTTTACTTTAACCTCGAGTTTATAGGATTGAATAATCATAGTCCTTATACCCATTAGTTCATGGTGCATAATTATAATTGGTCCAAGCAAGGCCCCTCTGGATTTATTTACTTACTATATTTTATCCCTAACCTCCACCATCATACCCTTCCCATCAGAGGCCAATATTCTAAAGTGTTTAATGTTTATCTTTTTATAGCACATATATTATTATTTTGGGTGAATGTTTTTTACTTACACAAATGTATTTTCTATAAACCAGATCCTTCTTAATTCAATATTCCATAATGTGTATCCATCATGTTTTAATGATCTACTTACCCAGGAAACTGTTGGTAAACTCTACTTCTGCTACTTTGAAGTAGAGGCCAAAGCCCAATCTTAAACACCCTCACGTTTCTTACCATTGCTATGCCCAGCCTCCTTCCACCCTGAGCTACTGCAAACCCTGTCCTCAACCTCCATAGCGTGTGCACACATGCACACAACTCAGGCCCGGGCTTTATCTCCTGCCTGCCACAAAGCATGGCCCATTCATTTTGTACTAAGACATCTAGTCTACCATATACCTGACGTAGAAACCTTCAGATTCTTAAATTCATCTTAATAGTATACTTCTGTGATGTTACAGCAGAGAAAATGCAGAAAATTATTCCATTTTAATTTATGTGCAGGAATTTAGAAAATAAGAATACATTAAATGAAAAAAAGAATAAATTAAATGGCTGAGAAAATATTATGCAAAATCAATGGACAAGAGAACCAATACAAGGGAGTCCTATGACGGGCTTAAATCTAGTAATTAAATAGCATTTATGAATAGAAAAAATGCCATGGTGAAATAGGTTAAAAGACATGGATTTAAGCCGTGACATAACTGGTTTGTTATGATTAACAAGTCACTTTGCTTCTCAATGTTTCATTTCCTTATTTTCAAAATAAAAATAATAACGCCTTTCGACATCAGGGCTCATTGTGAGGATTAAACACAGTAGGAATGTGTGTAAACATATTTTGAAAAGTGAAATGCAATATACAAACATAAACTTGTAGAGGAGATACTTTAACAATGTTGTGCCTTTTAAAAACTACTTTTATGTATTTGTAAGAGGGAATAAGTTTTGTCATTAGTTAACGCATTATTCATTTATTTGATCAAACATTCATTGAGCATTTTCTCTGTTCTAGATCTGATGTGATGCACTAGGTTACCTTTCCTCAAGAACATACAATATATTAGGGAAAGCAATGTACTTACAACTAATTTATTGTAAATGTAGTTGTAAGTAATAAATTCATCTTTTAAAAAGTATTCTAAAATTCTGATTTATCCCTAGCTCTAACCAATCTTCCATCATTAATTGCACAGTAATGTTTTGTAGTGAGAAATTACTCTGTACATAATCACACACATTAAAACATACATATCAGTTATTATGATTGTATGGCAAAAATAACCAAAACCAAACACAGTCATTGAGGCTTCAGAATTTTTTCAAACTGTATTTTACATATTAGAAAAAACCCATACTTTCATTTGTAAGTCTCCCCTAAGTTTCAAGTGAAAGGAAACAAATAAGTAATAATGTTGATTTGTATCAATGACCACCAGTAGTGATGCACTCAGCAAAAACTAAATGCTCTGAAGGTATTAAGATAAAACCTATTTATCACGAAATAAGGCATGCCATAAGCAACCCACATGGGAACTTTTATCTGTCTTGTTTTGGTTTTTCTGACTGGCTTCATTATATCTTCTCCATTTCATCATTAAGTTTTGGGTCAGGAGTCTAAGGCAACAGAGCTTCCCAACTCAAAATTTACATGATTACGTCTGCTTATTTTCTCATAAAAAATCATTTGGGCACCTTTTCCTATAAGCATCTCCTAATGTAACAGTGGAATATTAAAACCAAATTCCAAGATTAAAGCTAAAAATTATCTAGGTTTTGATCTTAGTGTAAAATAATGTCAATAATTATAAAATAAGAATTACATGCCAGTAAAATGTGCAATGTTTTAATCTATTAAATTCGCCATTGTTGCAAACTATTATTTACTTGAACTGCATTATTAGGTTTTCATATTCGCATTCTCAATTAAGAAAAAGTAAGCAAGCCAAGATTACATTCCCTGTAGCATTATTTTAAATTATAATGAGCGATCACATAAAACTCTCTGGTATTTCTCTAAAGCAATTATTACTTATTCTACTTCATAGTGTTCATCTAAATCAATGATCATTGATGTTTGAACTTTTTAGCTTTAAGTGTTTATTCTATTTATAATACCTTCTTGAGTAAGATAAATTTAATTCATGAAAAGCTCTACTACATAATTTTAAATAGGAGGTAATTTGGCAATACTTATATTTAAAAATATATTTTTAGGCAGAGGAATGCTGTATATTTAAAAAGAAAACTGTTGTCCTGAATCATTTGTTTAATATTATCTTTTGATTTTAAAATGGTACATATGTGGATTTATGAGAAAGCATATTATCTTAAGATTGTAGGTAAGAAAAATGCTTTACAACAGGAATTCAATAAATCAATTTTTAAAGCACAGATGAATGACCATGTCTTCTTATTTCCCTATTAGGAACATGTTAGACCTGATTACAAGTGACAAATTATTTGGGAAATAATTTTGCTGTCGGAATAGTCCTACATCCTCATCCCCTCCCCACATACATATATACGTATGTTTTTATTTCCTGATACTCTCCTTAAAAGAATATTAATTGTTATACTCAGTATTTTTCAATATATTTTAGCTTATTTATTTATGTGGGAAATAAACATAGATCCAAGAAATATCAGTGACTAATAAGCTTTTTTATTTTTAAATATTTTATTGATTGATTTCAGAGAAAGAAGGAGAGAGAGAGAGAGAGAGAGAGAGAGAGAGAGAGAAACATCAATATGTTCTTCCACTTATTTTTACATTCATTGGTTGCTTTGCTTGTGTCCTGACCAGGGATGAACCCATGGCATTGGCATATAGGGATGATGCTCTAACCAACTGAGCTACCCAGCCAGGGCCATAGTAAACTTTTTTAAAAAAATATATCATTGATTTTTTACAGAGAGGAAGGGAGAGGGATAGAGAGTTAGAAACATCGATGAGAGAGAAACATCGATCAGCTGCCTCCTGCACATGCCCCAATGGGGATGTGCCCGCAACCAAGGTACATGCCCCTGATCGGAATCGAACCTGGGACCCTTCAGTCTGCAGGCCGGCGCTCTATCCACTGAGCTACCCAGCCAAGGCCATAGTAAACTTTTTAATATGTTTCTTTTAACCTGGCTGTCCCTGCTAGGCTACAATTCTTCATAATTGTTATTATTCTGTGGAGACATATGTAAGAACAAGAAAAGGGAGAGAGATTTCTATTAGATGTGGTCTTTGTCTTCTGCAGATCACTTTACCACAAATAATGAATACAACAACAATATTTGGGCAGTATTCTGTTTATTCATAAAGCTAAAATTCAAACTGTATAAAAGGATATCGTACAGAATGCTGTTGATGAAAAATGAAATGTGGCTCCTTTAGTGACTGGCCATACAGAATTTCACTGGGATACTTGGCTTTTCCAATCAACACCACGGTGAGTCATTGTTTTAAGGGAATTCGCCTTAGACGCAGAAAGTGTTTGTGTGCATTTGAACTAGTCAGTGCAGTATTGTTTAATGATCAGGGTAAATTGTGTCCTTAAGTGAAGAGTCTATGGAATAATTATCTTTGTTTTCAGTTTTACTCTAAAAAGCATTTATTGAGTAAACAAAAATTTTGGAGAATTCTCTATGGATTTAACCATGATCATGTAAGTAGAAATGTGCATTTTCTAATCACGGTGCAGCTGGATAGAGGAAATACACCGTGGTCATGCTGGATAATTTTAAGTTTGACACAGTTTACTGTTAATTATTTGAGGCATAGTTTATGTTCTCAGTTTCTAACTATATTCATTTATATAAGGAGAGCATGATATGTTGCAGACTACAGAGAAAGTAAATGTTTAGATAGCATTTTATTTCCCTTACAACATTTTGTGCTTATAGGAGAAACTAGAGGGAATGTGAGTAACAAATAAAGGTACTAATATCTACTGATTTATCACTAAGTCAAATTTAAACACTTAAAAATATAAAGTGTGTATTTGTGGAGATTTTTTTGTTTGCAAAAGAATATTTACTCCATATTACTTTTGTTTCTAAGAAATAGCTATTGTTAATATAAAATATATGTAATTATTACATGAAAACCCACGTAAATGCTTTGTATATTTAATGTTTAAATGAAACGTACTTTTATTCCACAACTTCTAAAAACTGGCCAATATACTTAAAGTTTTGTAAATGCTTTGCTTTATACTTTAAATGAAATTTTTTTAAGTATTTGAAATCACTTTTGAATTTTCTATGAAGCTAAAGGTTTACAAAAAGGAGTATTTCCTTTGTGTTTTGAAATTAGGTATTCATTTTTTTTTTAAATGTCCTCTTTTGAACCAATTCTAGCTTACAGAAAAGCTGTAAAATAGTACTTATTTTTAAAGAAGGAAGTCCTCGTACTAAACAATGCTTGCAAAAAGTTAAACTAAAGAGTGGTCCTAGGACTTTGCCAGTGAAGATCTTAGTTCACCTTTGACCTTTGGTGGATGGTCATCCACAACTACAACCCTCTAGGGAAACATACTGTGCAGAGTTTGTTTAATTCGAGTTTGTATGCCACTCAGACCCTCCATAGGTCAATGAAGTGTTTTGTTTTCATTAAAATTTTTCCTAAATGTTAAAAAAAAAATAGCTTACTTTGTTGAGTAATTCCAGATTTTACTTAATTTCACTCTTGAGAAATCTACACTTTAAAGATATGTATGTCTGATGTTTCTCAAAAAAAAAAAAAAATGGGTTACTCCCTGCCCCTGCTTCCTTCTCTCCTCCATGGCTCTTCGTGTTCTGTGGAGGCCACAGGCTCAGCCTGGCACCTGAATTTTGAACATACCTGTGCAGAGAGACTGTACCTGGCAGATGTAGCTATACTTACTTAAAGAGGCAGTACATAATCTGAGGCTCTCCCATAATAAGTGATTATTTGTCTTCTCTTTTCAAAGAGTAGATAAAGGAGATTTAACAAAGAAATCCTTATACCAAGTTCTTCAGTAATTGCCAGAGCAGATAAATACATAAAATGAGGTTAGGCTATGAAGCACTTTAATGTTTAAATGTAAATTCTCATCTCTAAACATCTCTATTAACCTAGCAGATTTGAGTTGCAACCATCCTCCTAATAAAATATGAAATCTTTTAAGATTGCCAAGCATTTGTAAATAATGGATCCTTTAAATATCCCTGAACTTTATTCTAAAACTTATAAGGAGAAATAATAATTGCTTTATATAACCACTGATACCATTTTAGCATTTGATGAAGATGTTAATTTATGGTTGGTTAGCAGTTTATGGCAGTCATTAGTTTTTCAGTTTGGTCCACATTAGAAATCTATTTTTCTTTTTTATTTTAATCTGAGACAATTATATAAAGATATGGTTATGTTTTATCTAAAATGTATCATTCTACTATAGCATTTCAAATTATTCACAGATCATAGTTCTTATATGTGCATATATGAATTTAAAAATACAGCAATAAAATGCTTGAAACAGATCATAAATTTGCTTCATATTTTATTGCATCTCTGAATCAGGTTGCGAAGACAAGGGCAACTATGGTCTTTGGGAAAGAATTAACTCTTTCCCAAACTGGGAAGGAGAATGATAGCACAGTGTGCATAATTAAAGCCAACTTCCCCCTCAAAGCATCCTGGGGACTTGTAAGATAGGTTTGTCCATCATATGGGGTGGGGGCGGGGCGGGGGAAGAGGCACGGTGAAGTTACCTGCCAAATCCTCCTTTCCCTTGCAGTCTAACCTTCCCAGCACAGTCGTTTCTCTTCCGGAGCTTTCTAATCTGAATTTGTGTATTGCCCAAACTAGAGAACACCTAGGAAGGGAAGGGGAGAAAAGTCCAGGCGCACAGGCACTCAGGGGCACTCATTGCGCAATAGTCCCGAAGGCTCCTGACGGTGTTAAAACCAGTCATCTAGAAAAAGTGGTAGAATTTAACCCAAATCAGAAAGCCAGCAAAGAGTTTCCCTGAAAGCAAAGAGGTCCTTGGGGGATAAAACTGGGGCGCTTTTGCAGCATTCCTGGTTGTGGCGCGGCTGCGGGGTGAACTTGACAAGCCTGGCATTTGCACGTGAGCCCACCAGGCCGCGGGGGTGCCGGGGACGACCCGATCCTAGTGCCACCTCTCGAAAGAGTTTGACGCAGGGTCCCTTAAATTCGCTTTTTGTCCCTAGGAACTTGGAGGTCGGATGGCTTTGCGCCCGCAGGAGGGACCCAGAAGGCCAGTCCAGGGGGAGCTCAGGGAGAAGGGACGCTTTGTGGGTGCGGATCCCGAGTCCCTCCCGAGGCGCAGCGCGAACTGAGCAGCGCTGTGGGCGCGCTGATTGAGGACGTCGTTCTGTCTGCAAACTTGGGCTGGCTGAGCTGCAGGAATAGCACCCCGCTCCCTGCCCTCCCAGGTCCCAGCACCAACACTGGCCCGGGGGCGATGCAGACACCTGGTCCGCGCGCACAGAACCCTGGTTCTAGTAAACACGTTACCAATCGCTCGGAAGAGCCAGCGTTCCCGCGGGGAGAGAAAGACTCTTCACTGGAGAGTTGCTTTTCCTCTTAAACCAAGTTACTGTCTCCTCGTTTTCCCTCCTGTTCCCCTACCATCTACGGTGCCCAAAGTCTGGTATAAAAAGGCCAAATTTAAAGCAACTGCCGCTCCTCGGCTTGGCGATCAAGGGGCCTCCGAGTTATAAATGCCAACACAGAGCGCGCAGGAAACGGGCTCATTTATTTTGCTCACACAACAAAAAAATGTTAATTGATGTAAAGTTGCTTGGCACGTGGATAATTTAGTCTGACCCACATTTTAATTAAAAGAAAACTTATGATGTT